TTACTGTTTTTATCCAATGGTTAGCTGCTAAAGAATGCCATACGGCATTAAGCACGCCACTTGTTCAAACATTTTATTATGCAATAAATATAGTAAGTAGTGAAATTACAGGGATCTCTTTACACTCTTAAAGATATAACAGTCCAGTGCTCAGATATAGCAACGCATGAGTGGTACAATGGGTGTCACAGTGTTTCCTGTAATGTCCACGATGCTGTAGACGGTTAGCAATTCCCATTAGGGGAGCTGTCAGATTATTGACATTTCTAAATATCATGAAAAAATTTAATTTCAGGTCTTCGGGGGATTTCACTCGTAAGTTTTGAGATCTCTAGCTCGACAAGAAGCTCAGATAAGGACGAAATAGATTCTCACCTGTGATGTCTCACTAGTAACTTGTCAGCATACAGCGTTAGCGTGAATAGGGTGACCATTCCCTTTTCATCTCATAAAAATTTTGGTTTTTTTATGCAACTTAGAATGGCAAATAAGCTAACGGCCCACCTAATGGAAAGCAGTAGCCATAACCTATAGACATAAGCAGTACCATGAACATAACAGAGTATACTGTTTCGCCATTGATACCGCTCATGCATTGCCATTGCTGAGGAGTACGGTGTTATTGTTCTGTACCCTGTAAATTCACTGCCATATCCCACATTTTAAACTGAAACACAACCATGCAAACACAACTGCTTTGAGAAACATGAATGGGACAGAGGTACCAAAGTAAATTTTTTTATTGTAATTTGTGTGCCGTAAGTAATGTAAATAAATTATCTATCTATCTATCTATCAAACGCCTTTATTACAAAGACTCCCCCTGGTGCAAAAAGAATAATAAAATCAATTCATGTAATAGATTCACATAAAAGACACCAAATAGAGATCCTATTTCTTTTATAAATAGAAGAATGCGGTGAGGCAACAATAACATATTCTGTATATTATTTCATTAATGCTAATATGAGCACTTTATAAACAGAATCGACTATTATAGTGGGTTCGATGACACTTTAATAAATTTATTAATAAATATAAAGATTTAATGTTGCCAGTGAATAATAAAAATTTAGAGCGAACCGCCTGCACTGGTACGGACGTGTGATGAGACGTCATGATTTTTTTTTAATAATTTTATAATACAGGGGGCAAACGAGCTTGCAGCTCACCTGATGGTAAATGACTATAGCCGCTCATGATCATCCACAACACCAAAGGCATTGCAGGTGTGCTGCCGGCCTTTTAAAAAGGAATATGCTCTTTTCTTGACAGTTATGTTGTCGTATCGGTTCGAAAATACTGCTGCTGGAAGTTGATACCAAAGAGTGGTTGTGCGTGGAAGAAAATGCCTTGAAAAACGCACGGTGGAGGACCGCCACTCGTCCAGATGTTTGGGATGAAATTTTTGTTTATGGCGAGTAGTTGTGCGTATTTACTATTGTAGCATGGGGTTTGTCATAATTTACAATCACCGTAGTCTATGGTTCCATAAATAACAAACAGACAGACAAAACTATCAGTAGTAGGGATTGTTAGTAATGGAGACTGAGAATCCCATTGCTAGCAATATACCCAACCAGGTCGACCTCCTCGCGGTTCCCCCTCTAAACTATCATGATTAATTCCTGATGTATTCATCATGATGGGCTAACTGGCCTGTTTTCATTCTCATCTATCACCCTTCACTGCTGCTCCGCCAGCGTATCCCGTTAGCGCAGGCGGAGTTACAATACCATTTTCACCCATCAAAAAAAACTGTAATATTATTAATCACTCCACATTGACACCACAGTGTTTATATATTGGATCCATGCGAAGCGGGGAAGGGATAACAATATACCCTATCAGGTCGACCTCCACATGGTCCCCTCTGGAAACCATCGTGCTGAATTCCAGGTGTATTCATCACGATGAACTAACTGTCCTGCCTTATCATTCTCACCTATCATCTCTCACTGGTACCTCGCAAGCGTATACCGTTAGCACAGGCGGGGTTGCCACTCCATTACCACTAAAAAAAGACCCGAGCAAAGCCGTCGCGGGTCACTAGTATGTAGTGGCAGTGGCATCATGCTGACTCTACCATCAAGCATATAAGCATGTCCTCAACTGCATTAATAGGTCAAAGTCATACACAATGATAATATGTAAATTTTCATAAATAACTTTAAACTAGAACAATGTTTAAAGCGGCAATTAACCGGTTCAATCCAGTTCGCGCCGGTGTTACACAATAACTGCACAGTTTCGGATAATCGCTGTCACTCTCATTTGACAGATTGTGCAAATTAAAAATAAAACATCTTCCAAATCTGAGTATGAAAACTATTTGTAATGTATTTGAGGTTTCTATTTTAAACTAGCCGATGCCCGCGGCTTTGCCTGCGTGGTATTTGTTATTCTTTCGGTGAACATTTTAACCTCCTTATCTTGGTGAAGACGTGTCGTTCTCACTTTTTGCCTTACGTCAAAATTTACTTTATAAAATTTTGGCTTTACTTAAGTAGGTTGTATAAGTTACTATAGTTTTTTATCTATCCCACGGGAACTCTATAATTTTCCGTGATTAAAAGTATCTAAAACGTTAACAAGGGATGTAAGGTATGACCATGCAAAATTTCATTTAAATACGTCCAACAGTTTCTGATATTAACCCATACAAACAGGCAGAGAAACAAAAATTTGAAAAAATCTGGACGTGTTCTATTTCACTTCTAACTTCCTCCTGACTCGGTTTTTATCGTTTTTTTTTTTCTATGTACAGACAGTCGACCTCTACTTTTTTATTATCTTATATATAAAATTCTCGTGTCGCGGTGACAAACTCTCCGAAACGGCTTTTTTTGAAATTTTGTGTTATATTGTATATAGCCAACATCTATTTTTTACCCCTCGAACCCCCTTTCTAAAAAAAAATTTTTTTATTTTTTTGACAAATTTTTCCATTTTTATTTTATTATGACTTAGCATTGAAAAATACATACAACTTTAAATTTTCATCGTTTTACGATCAACCCCTGTATTTTAATTGTGATTTTTATATCGCAATAAGTGGTGTGTTAGTATGTATATAGATTTAGATTTTAATTTCTTATTTGTACAGGCGACATTTTCAGGAATTGATAAGTGCTGGTAAGATACATTGAAAATGTTCGACATGTGAAATTTTCTATGTGGGAAAGTCTTTGATTTTATAACTTTTGGAGTCCTATTACAATTCTTTTATTAATCCATGGACAACATTATGGCAAAATCAGTTATTTTAATTTAAAAACTGAATTACTGAACCGATTTTGATAAAATTTTATAGGGGCAATTTGTAAATATATCATATAAAATAAAGAATTTCCCAAATTAGTTTAAAACTGGACTTATTATTATTATAGTAAGTATAGAGTATCATGGGCGAAACAGTATACTCTGTTATGTCCATGGTACTGCTCATGTCTACGAGTATAGGCGACTGTTACCACTTTCCATCAGGTGGGCCGTCAGCTTGTTTGCCATTCTAAGTTCTATAAAAAAAAAAACTTTTAGATAAAAAAAGAACTTTCAATATCGGTTTATAATTGACGGACTTATTACCTCTATGTTTGTTTATGAGGTTACAAAAATAAATAAAAAAAACCGAACTGAGAACCTTCTTCTTTTCAAAGTCGGTTAAAAATTAACATAGGACACGGAAGCAAAACCCTGTAGTAAAAAAAAGAAATACATAAACAAAACTCCCTTAATAATATCCTCACGACTGTAATCTCTGATGGAGAAGTCAAAAGGGTTCCTCTACTTTCACCTTTGTAGAGTTAATATTCGCGATACGATAATAAATTATTTGTTCACAAAATAATTTGAGATAAAATCTCTAATAGACCGTACTCCTAAGTATTTTAACTTTAATAATGGATATAAAATTTCAATAATATAGAACAATATGTTAATAAGCCGAGGACGACATTGTACGATATACTCGTATTGTTAAATGTAACACATGAGATTTGTTATGAGATTATGTCTCAAGATAAACATCACCATTTTTTTTATACAACTTCGAATGGCAAACAAGCTAACGGCCCACCTGATGGAAAATAGTAACTGTCGCCTATATATGTTACATGAACAGTACCATGGACCTAACACACCGTGGAGTATACTGTTTCGCGCATGATAACCCCCATGCGTTGTCGTTACTGAGGACTCAGGTGTTATTGCTCTGTACCCTGTAAATTCACGCCATATCCCACCCTTCAAACTGAAACACAGCTGTGCAAACACAACTGCTTCACGGTTGAAACACGAATGGGACAGAGGTGCCCAAGCAATTGACTTTTGTACAAAGTCTCCTTCTGGTACATCAGGTATCTGGTATATATATATATCATCATCAACATCATTATCACCTCAGCCTTTCTATCCACTGCTAAACATAAACCTCCCCCATAAGGGGGATTTTGCCACGCTTGACAGGCTTTACAGTTTGTGAAAGAAGGATTCCAATATCAAATTTTAAGTTCCTAAAAAAATTTAAAATCAATTCTTAATTACAAAAGATATCGAGTAACATACATATAAAATACAGTTGTGATCTTTTTTAAATGCGTTGAAAAAGAGTATTGTAAACAAACTTTACAATATGTACAAACTGTTTATACAATCGTATAAATCTATTTTAAACCTAATACAAAGCTATCCTTTCACTTCCCATGAAAGAGTTTTCTACGCTATAAATAAACAATGTTTACAATGCATTTAACTAATGCATAAAACACACATTTTTCACCTTGACCGCAAAACATACAAGCAAACAAAAAGTATCCTATTTCCCTATTGATATTTAGAAAGCATCATTATGTTCACAATCGTTTATTGTCAAGATGCATCTTCAGACGAATCTCGTGACACAGATTATCGTGCACAACATGTGGCATTGTGCCGCCTCTGCCTCGGATTTAAAAAAAAATCCGTCCATCACTTAAAAACTTCATTCCGATTTTGGTGGCCGCGCCGCGTTGTCGTATGCCATGATAAATTAAAAAAATAACACCACAGACACTAAAGTGTGAGTAAATCAACAAAAGAGTTCTAAATTTAAATATCCCGTGAGTTTTTTTTTTCCTTAAAAGTGCAAAGTGCCAACATGAACGGTTTTATTATATGTTTGCTTACTATTGTAACAATAGTAAAAGGCAATGTATTTTTCAATCGTATCAACCATATTGAATACTATAGAAACAGAACTAGGCCTTCAAAAGCGTTTCACAGTTTTTCAACGAACTATTTCAATCAGAACTTAGTGCCGAAGCCCGGGAAATCGGAGCGGGTGCAATGTGGTACTAGAACAGTCGACTTCAATCCCAGAAGAACAGGGAAGATTGTTGGTGGTACAGAAACACCGTATGGAGCTTTCCCATGGCAGGTAAATTTATTATTACTTTATATTTCATTTATTACTTTTGAAAATTCAAATTTTAATCTGAACAACTTCATAATTTAAGAAATTATACAATTGTACGCACTTATTAATGTAAAAAAAAAAATAACAATGATCTTTTTATCTGGAGGTCCAGCCTAGGGTTAAGGAAAAAAGACAAATCATAAGAACTATTGAGGTCAGAAAGGAAAAAATGTTAGGACACTTGATACGACACGACGAACTTATGAACATTATAATAGAAGGTAAGATAGAAGGAAGAAGGGGGAGAGGGAGACCGAGGCATAGTTACATCAGGCAGATCAAGGAAGGAGTTGGTGTCGTGTCGTATCAAGAGGTGAAGAGACTCGCAGAAAATCGTAGTGAGTGGCAAGAGCTCCACCGACAAGAGCGCAGCTCTTAAATAGGATAGATAGATAAATAATATATTGCCAAATTAAAACACAAGTTTATTAATCTGTAAACTGATTATTTTCTCTTCAATTAAATAAACATTGTTCCGAACAATTTTTTTATATGTTATATTTATATATATTTTATTTATATTTTTCGAAAAATTAAAAAGTAATTGAAGATCAGGCACCATGTTGTCGAGCCTTAGTTTTTTCCTCAGCAAAATTATCTGATTATATTAAAAAAAAAATGTTTAGCTTAAAAGAATATAAAATATTGATAGCTAATTAAAAAATTTATCGATCGATAGTTTCATTTCCCGCCAAAACCCAAGTAATCATGATATTTTATCAAGGATTTTAACATATTTAATTAAACTTGACAAACCTTAACGGGTTAAAACCGTTTAGCAACCCGAAATAAGATGTTATCTGATTCCTTCATGAATACGAGTATACGTGTAAATGGCCGATTTGAAAAAACGGTTGCAAAATATTAAAATCTTTCTAACCAATATTCACGATGGGTACTGAACTTAACGCGGCGCGATTTCTATTTTTATTTTATTTTAATATTACATCTCGAATTAACAGCTTATATCTAGAACAATTAAAAATATTATGTTTTTTTTATGGGTGAAAATGGTATGGTAACCCCGCCTGTGCTAACGGGATACGCTGGCGGAGCACCAGTGAAGGGTGATAGATGAGAATGAAAACAGGCCAGTTAGCACATCATGATGAATTCATCAGGAATTAACCATGATAGTTTCCAGGGAGAACCGCGAGGAGGTCGACCTGATTGGGTATATTGCTAGCAATGGGATTCACAGTCTCCATTACTAACAATCCCTTTCCGCCCTATATCAGTTAGTTAATAACTAATGTTTAACACAAGACAGTTAATGTCCTGTGTTGAACATAAGCCATAAGCTTTTTTATGTTTATTACGTCTTTAGGTTACCTCATAACTCTATCAGTTCTAATATATATATATATATATATATATATATATATATATATATATATATATATATATATATATATATATATATATATATATATATATATATATATATATATGGTAAAAGTTTTGTTGAAACAACTCATCAGATTCATGGACATAACATGCATCATATGTCAAAGACCTGGGTTAAAGCGAAAACCCAATAAGGTCAAAGTCATTGTTTGACACTGGGTCACGTTAGTATCTTACCATACATACATATCTGTCACGCCTATCTCCTATTAGGGTAGGGAGAAAATGGAATTGGGTAATGATGACTGAGTAAATGATATTAATTTCAACCTGATACCTCCACGTGTTCCTAAAAAAAGGGTCATGACAGAGGAGTTTTTAGACGCACGGACAGATAATTGGTGATCCATAAGAGTTCCGTTTTTTTTTTAATGGAACGCTAAAAGCATAAAATGACATTAAATAAAAATAGTATAGCCAAATGTTATATTTTGAATTTTCGATCGTAAACATAATGTATGCTTAAGGACAATTTACAAATAAATAAACTGAAAGTGGTTTCGCGGTTTGCCGCCGAATGTGTAGCCGGTTCAATTCCGTGGGAATTCCCACACGGGCTTAGATAATAATTATATTACTTAAAAGAAACGGAAGTGTGACCTAAGCTTAGCAATTTTTTTGTAACCTATAAATTTAAAATGAAATTATATTTTATTTTTACGCATTACGCATTTTTCTTAATTATATGTTATTTATTTATTTAAACTTTAATGCACAATTATGTAAGCTACAGAACAAACCTAGGACTCAACCTCTGACCAGGATTAGTGCGTCATACAATGAAATTTATGCCAAATTACCTGAAATTGATATACTCGTAATGCATGATAGTTCCAATTCCTACAGGAATAAATTGCTGAAGCACTTTACAATACTATTTAAGTAAGTAATCATTTAATAATAAAATATATTAATATTGTACAATAATCTAATAAAAAATAATAATTCACTGATTATCATATATATATATATATATATATATATATATATATATATATATATATATTTATATATATATGAAATACAGTAACATAAATACAGATTGAAATATACACATAAACTGAAAGTGGTTTATGCGGCAATCTCTTACAGACAATTAGTTAAGGGAGAACAGATAGAAAAGGGCAGGTGGCGCAAGAGCTTAGATAATAATTATATTGCTTAAAATACAAAAACATGTAATGCACAAAAATATCAAATACATATTTTTATTACACTATAAATTTAAAATATATATTATATTTTATTTTTACACATACATATATATATTTACTTAATTATATATTATTTATTTACAAAATACTAAAATACACATATAAATACATGTAAGCACACACAGGAAATATGACAAATCTAGTCCAAAAATTAGTGGAAAAGAGTAACTACAGTGAAAGAAAATGTGATTTGACTTGTCCTTTAACTGAAATTGATATGCGCACTCTGTATAGATAGTTCCAGGCGCACTGCCTGAAGGAATAAATTTGGTGTAGTACACGGAGGTATGTGCTGGGGTTTTTAAACAATACTATTTGAGGTAAGTACTCATTTAATAATATAAATATATTAGATAGTGAGGTGTACAGGATTGAATAGAATGGAATAAAGAAAGAAATATACTAATCTTCACTGATTATCATAATATATATATATATATATATATATATATATATATATATATATATATATATATATATATACGCTCAAGTTTATTTTTTTTAATTTAATTCACTTATAATCGTATTTTCTGATATTGCTCACAACTTAGGTTACATGTATATTTCTATAACTAATAACGCAACTTTTATAATATTTCTAGTCTAGTGTTATTTAATTCATTGTAATTGTTACTTCATTTTCTCGCACTGTATAACTACATATGTTAAAGTGAATGCTGTGAATACCTATAATAGGCATGTGCATTAATATTGTATTGTATTTAATGTTTGTTATATGTGTTATAATGCAATATGCTGTTGGTGTTTCTTTAAATAAATAAATATAAGTAAGTGTACATATGGCGGACTTAACACCTAACGGCATTCTCTACATAATATAAATTTGGCAAGAAACAATATCGTAAAGGAAAAAAGCCGATAACCTTAAATTTGTAGTTATTTCACAGAAAAATAAATTTTTAAACTTGATAATTTTGTACGGAGCCCTCGTTGCGCGAGCCCGACTCACACTTGACCAGCTTTTATACTATAGTCCTAAGAGGCTACAATATCCTACAAAGAATTATAGTATTAAAAGTAACAATTGCACATTATTGCATATTTAATCGATTTAACGTACAAGTTACGTCACAGTATACAAAGGTAGCACACCCTAAAATTACCACCCAATTACCACTCCTTTTTTGGCAGTCGGTTAACAATTATTGTATTATGCCATAAGTCCGCAAACATATTATTATTTCATGCAGTAATTTAGACCTTCTCTGTATTTTGACTGCACACTGGAGAAAACTTTGCCAACAAAGCTATGGTTAAAACTGAGAAATTATATGGCAGATATCAATTTTCTACCATATCCGACTGCGGTCGTAATGACACTGTATGAACGCTATATTCGGCAACATCTCACAATAAGATGTTGAGGAATTATTGTAGGCGAAATTTATTTTGTTCTTAAAAGAGCGATCTTTGGGGTATTTTTTTTTATACCACTGAGGTGGCAAACAAGCATACGGCCAACTTGATGATAAGTGGTTACTGTAGTCTATGAACACCTGCAATTAAATTAGTCACGCTGTTCTTTTTGAGCGATTACCAAAAGAGGTTCTTGATTCATTTAATTTTTTGTCAATTCAGAATGAATATTTATTAATTGTGAAAAGACGTGTGTATTAAGGTTTCTTCAGGGTCGGCAACGCGCACGTGACACCCCTAGTGTTGCAGGTGTCCATAGGCTACAGTGACCGTTTACCATCAGACGGTCTGTATACGTATTTGCCACTTTTGTGGTATAAAAAAACTGTTGGAATTTATTCCAGTACTGGTCTCATTTTAATTTTGTAACTTTGACGTTTTTCTTTGTGGAGCAAAAAACTGCTTGTTCCAAAGCTACAAAACAAAAGCAATTCTGCGTGTAAATAAAAATCAAATAGTTTTAATATAATAATATACAAAACCTGTCAACTTTTATTGAGGTTTATGTATGTGGCCATGATTGGTCACACATACCAATAAATGATGAGATATTATATATCTATATACTATATATTATATACTCTACGTTGTAAATATTTGAATTTAGAAGACTGAAAAACGTGTCTGCGATTTTTTGGCTTTTTTGTTGTGCATCAAAAATCTGTAGATTCAATCGTTACAAATTTAATATGGGGCTAAGAATATATCTTTTCTATCACATAGTATAAATGTAAATAGTAAAAATGTATTCACTAAGATAATCACAAAAAAAAAAATGTATTGAAATCTCTACATTGAAATTCGCTTAAAGTCCTTAATTTAATCTATTCGGTTTACATTATAATTATATCAGTAAAAACCTGAATGAGTTTTATATAAAAATATACTGGCCCTCAGAAATCAACTCGTTGGGAGGTTGCATAAAAAATGAAAACAAAAGAAAATTGATTTCGCAGGAGTCAGAGTGAAAGTGTAAATACAATGCTTGCGTTAATTTCTGAACGTTCAATATGGCGGGCTGTCAACTTGACAGCCGCTATTGGCGGGCTTTTGTGTTTTGGCGGGCACTTTTTGTTTTCAAAACGGAGCGTATTATTAGGTAACACGAAATGAATAATGGACTTTTGAGTGCACTGACACCGTTTTGAATATGTATATTGTACAGTCTACGTTCGTTTGTCACATCTGACATAATCTAGACGCTAATTAGTTTGTGTCTTTAGAAATAAGTCCCATATTAACTAAACAATACCTGTGAAAGAAGTAACTAGTTAATATGATATAGTTATATTTTGTCATTATAGAATTCTAACCAAACAGTATTCTAATAAACTCATAACATTTATGCGTTTGGAACCTTTATAGACAATTTTACAGAAAAAAGAAGTTCTTAATTCGATTTTTTCTTTTTATACTTATGTCTTGTATTATGTATGTAGATAGAGCATCGAGTCTCAAAACATTTTGTCAGCTAATGGTCAAATTATCTGACTCGTTTTCTATCAGTGTTCTATATACTTACGTACATAATGTATCTTGACGTATCTATATTTAATTTATTTAATAATTAAAATGAGTTTTTGCACATTAAAAAGGTGCAAAATTTGTAGGACACAAAAAATGTAGAAATTATAAAGAAATCACTCATAACTATTTATCATGCAAAATTGTATGAAAAAGCTGACCGGCTTTTCTCGAAGTATTTATATGGAGACATTCTATCTATATAATGTAAGACTTATATCTAACGTAATGTATATGTTAATGTAAAAGCCTGTACATTGATAAATCCAGAGGAAGACTTTGTACAAAAGTTGATTGCTTAGGTACCTCTGTCCCATTCGTGTTTCTACCATGAAGCAGTTGTGCTTGCATGGCTGTGTTTCGGTTTGAAGGGTGGGATATGACGTGAATTTACTGGGTACAGAGGAATAACGCCTGAGTCCTCAGGAATGGCAACGCATGGGGGGTAATATGGGCGAAACAGTATACTCTGTTATGTCCATGGTACTGCTCATGTCTATAAGCGACAGTTACCACTTTCCATCAGGTGGACCGTCAGCTTGTTTGCCATTCTAGGTTGTAAAAAAAATACTCTGCCAAAATATTTATATTTGTAATTACAGGTCGAGATTCAGATGTTGGACCATGATAAGCTGGAGTTCGAGCACCACTGTGGGGGCGCTGTCATCGGCGAACGTCTCGTGCTGTCCGCTGCGCACTGTTTCGATAAAGTTTGTTCCTTCTTCATTTACCCCCATTAGTGTTATTACTATTTACTAGTTTTTTTTCCAATTTCGAACACTTTTGTATTTTAGAAGTTAGAAATCAAATAAAATGGACCAGTTCCAGACAGCGTATTAAGATAAAATACACTCCAGATTTCAAGGTTAACCTTCAGGAATATAACTGAGAAATCCACATTCAATTTAATGCAGCAACTTTTCCGTGATGTCGGAACAAACATACAGATAGATAAAACAATTATTTTTAGAAATTTATTTGTGTCGGGGGATTTTTAAATTTTTTATAAATGTATACTCCATTTTGTTAATTACAGCAACCGCTACAATTAGACCACATCAGGCTAGTGGTGGGCGAGCACAGACTGAAGTTTCAGGACAAGCACGAGAACAGGTTCCTGGCGGAGAAGGTGGTGCTGCATCCGGAATTTCGGAAAGGTAATGAAATTTCCTTTTTCCGTAACTTTTTTAAAATTGTCTGAAAATGTTATTACAACCCCTGTTTCGCAATAGATCGTAGACAATTAAAATATTATTGTTTCATTCGAGTAAATATATCCCGCGCGGGGAAAGGGATTGTTAGTAATGGAGACTGAGAATCCCATTGCTAGCAATATACCCAACCAGGTCGATCTCCTCGCGGTTCTCCCTGAAAACTATCATGGTTAATTCCTGATGAATTCATCATGATGGGCTAACTGGCCTGTTTTCATTCTCACCTATCACCCTTCACTGGTGCTCCGCCAGCGTATCCCGTTAGCGCAGGCGGGGTTACCATACCATTTTCACCCATCAAAAAAAAAATATATATATCCCGCGACTTCACTTACATTTGTCAGGAAAATTTATTGTAAAAACAATTTTTCGAAGTCAACCGGTATTTCCTGAGACTAGCACGTAAGCCAATATATGTATAGATATTAGAACTACAATATTTTTTTTTTTTTTTTTTTTTTTTATAATACTTAGAATGGCAAACAAGCTGACGGCCCACCTGATGGAAAGTGGTAACCGTCGCCTATAGACATGAGCAGTACCATGGACATAACAGAGTATACTGTTTCGGCCATGATACCCCCCATGCGTTGCCATTCCTGAGGACTCAGGTGTTATTCCTCTGTACCCAGTAAATTCACGCCATATCCCACCCTTCAAACCGAAACACAGCCATGCAAACACAACTGCTTCACGGTTGAAACACGAATGGGACAGAGGTACCCAAGCAATCGACTTTTGTACAAAGTCTCCCTCTGGTAAAATATATAGATATTGCGATATAATACCTACCTTTACTCAGATCATAATCCGTTATTATTGTTTTTACATTACAGATGGTCCACATAGCAACGACATAGCGGTGATCCTAGTATCGCGTTCCGGCTCCGGCATGCAGTTCAACAGTCACGTCCGGCCGATCTGTCTTCCGGACGGGGGGGAGGAGAGCGCCGGACAGTGGTGCGCGGTCAGCGGCTGGGGATATCAGACAGGTGGGAAGTAGATAGATAGATACTCTTAATTGTTTCCTCCAAAAGATTACAATAGTAAACTTATTATAAATATAAATAATTACAAGAAATAATCACAATGAGAAAACAATGGGCGATCTTATAGCTAAAAGCGATCTCTTCCAGGCAACTTTTGGATGGAGAGGAGTAATTATAAATAGATTGATCGGAGGCACAATGAAATTCTATTATTTTTAAATATGGAGATTTTATCATTAGTTTCAATGTCTATGTTAAAATAACTCTTTACTACAGTCGTCTAAATTGAGCAATTGTTTAGAGCAGGGGTTCCCAACCTTATTTTGTCTACTGCCCACTTTGAGAATAAATTGTAATTTTTTAGCGCCTTCATTTTTTCACCAACTTAAAAACCACTATTACTTCAAATTACAAATCACCCCACTAAACCTCTACACAACGCCCCCATTTTTTTCTGGGTCTCTTACCGCTGCCCTTTAGGACTGCAGCGCCCACAAGTGGGCGTCACTTTGGGAAAGGCTGGTCTAGAGTGAAATGTGTATCTCGAGGTACCATGCAATCATTCGGGAACCGGGATACTTTTACTACACATGCAGCCTTTTGGTCACGTAACAAACATACAAACTCGCCTTCACATTATATTTATAATATTAGTAAGGGTGGCAAATAAACTAATTTCCATGTCCAGAAAATGTAATAATGGATGGCAATGCTGTCTGGTCCCAGCATATAATGGACCACTACTCCCTTTCCCATAAATGTTGTAAGAGGCGACTAAGGGAACTTAATTGTCGTGGGATGGGCAGCAACGTCCATCTTTAAACCTCACCAAAGCCTCAGTGTTTAAAAAAATCGCATTTAAACCCGTTGCGTATTTTTAAAGATCTAAGCGTACATAGGAACAGACAGACGGGAAGCGACTATGTTTTATACTATGTAGTGATAAAGTAGATGAGTTGTTGAGGTCAAAACGCCTGTGTAAACGATATAGCAATATTGCTAGTTACACAAATATCCTATCTGTGGAAACCGTTAACTGTCCACTGCTGAATATAGGTCTCCCCCATAAGGCGGGTTTTGCCAGTAGTTGCCACGCTTGGCAGATGAGTTGGCAACCGCAGTTTGGCTTTTGGTGATGTTTTAGGAGGGATGCTTGCTACCTGTCCCTCCATCACAAGCTTCCTTAGTCGCCACTTCCGACACCCGCGGAAAGAAAGCGTAGCTTATTCTATCCCAAAACCTACACGACGGTACAATAGGTACAATACTCCTTAGATATATTAATAATAATAATAAATCTTTATTAACAAATACAGGGTTGCACTGTTACACATTTTTTGCCCTAACTTACAAATTAGGGTAACCTGTGCCTTGTAAGCCAGTTCCCTCCAACACACAAGAACTAATACTTTTCATTTGTACATGCAGTGTTCACAAAATTAAGCTTCAGACATAATAAACAGGTGGGGGAAAGGGATTGTTAGGAATGGAGATCGACACCCCTATTGTTAGCAATATACCCTATTAGGTCGATCTCCACGTGGTTCCCCTGGAAACCATCCTGAACAATTCTTGTTGAATTCATCACGATGGGCTAACTGACATGCTTCATCCTCATCTATCATCCCTCATTGGTGCCTCGTCAGCGTATACCGATAGCGCGGGTGGGGTTACCATTCCATTATCAACCATTAAAAAAAAAACATAATATACAGGTTAAATATTGATCCTCGATCTGTGAAATATATATATATATTTCACAGATATTATAATATATATATATATATATATATTATAATATCTGTGAATATATATATATATATATATATATATATATATATATATATATATTCACAGATATTATAATATATATATATACTTTCGAAAATATAGAAACATAACATATTGATTGATTGTTCCAGAAAGTACAGAAAGCTTCGCGCCCGTCCTCAGAGCGGCTTCCGTACCAGTACTAGATCTGGAGACTTGTAGAGCGAACCAGGTCTTAGGCGGTCGACAGCAAGCGATACTGGATTCTATGTTATGCGCAGGTAAGTATAAATTGTAACATATGCTGAATTTAAAGTAGAGCCCCTTAGTCTTCCTTAGCTAATAGCTCACCTGATGGAAAGTGGTAACTATCGCCTATAAATAATAAAAGAAACATAAAAAACACCCATGAGAAGTTTCATGGGCATCACTGAATACGCTGTGATTTCGGTACTCCTGTTGCGTTACCATTTCTGAAGACTATGGTGTTATGCCTATACATCATAAAACTGCGCTGTCATATCCCTTTCTTCAAGCCGAAATAGCTATGCTGAGCTGTGCTTAGCTACTTCACGGAAGAAACATTAGAAGGAGAGAAACACCCATGCAAAAGACTATTATACAAAGACAGAGGAATAACACCTGAGTCCTCAGGAATGACAACGCATGGGGGGTATCATGGGCGAAACAGTATACTCTGTTATGACCATGGTACTGCTCATGTCTATAGGCGACGGTTACCACTTTCCATCAGGTGGGCCGTCAGCTTGTTTGCCATTCTAAGTTGTATAAAAAAAAATTAAAAAAAAGTCTCTAATCACATCAAAATTTATACTGTGATCTCCACGGTGCTTTTCATGCCTATAGATGACGGTTACTATATCTCTTTTCAACAAATGGACCGTTAACTTATTTGCCATATATGACAACGTGATGCCAGGGGGAAGGGAATTGTTAGTAATGGGGTCAAACAGCCCTATTGCCAGCAATATACCCTGTAAGGTCAACAGGAGATTAATTCTTGTCAAATTTGTCACGATAGGCCAACTGACCTGCTTCATCCTCACCTATCACCGCTAACTGGTACCCCGCCAGCGTATACCGATAGCGCAGACGGGGTTACCATTCCTTTTTCATTTATTATAAGACTACGTGGTACTAATTAGCGTTACTATCCAGGGGTTACCATGAAAAGAAACTGCGAATTTTCGGACTCAATTTTGCGTTTTTCTTTATACCAAATTCGGCCCAGTAAATAGAGCTTAATATTTCGTTCGTCATAAATCCAACAAAACAATTATTAATAACTTTAATATGAAATTTGCGTTTCGGTCGGCCACGAAATTTCGGAAAAGATTTCATGGTAGGCCAGCTGGTTTCATTGGCGCGCTTGTATTGTGTCTATATTATTATACTATTTTTGTCCTAGGAATTCTCTCTGGAGGAGTAGACGCGTGTCGTGGTGACTCTGGAGGGCCGTTAGCGTGCATGACTGCCGACAGGTGGCAGCTGCACGGGGTCGTGTCGTGGGGGTCAGGATGCGCGCGGCGGTCTCGCCCGGGGGTCTACACGCGGGTCGCATCATACGTCGACTGGATAAAGTACACTGCCGCCTCCTTGGGGCATAAGATCGCATGATTATAGATAGCCATAGATTAAAAATAAAAATATTGTAACAGAGGAAAAATACTGTAATGTACGTGTTAGAGCGAGATACATATACAGGGTCAAGACACGCTGGTCTCTAGTGGTTTGACGGGAGTTTTGAACGAAACAAAATTGATAATTGATGAAAAAATTAAAAATAGTTATTAAGGGTGGGTAATATATAACAATATATATAGATTTTAGTTATAATATCTATATATATACCACAGGGAGACTGTACAAAAGTCGATTGCTTGGGTACCTCTGTCCCATTCGTGTTTCAACCGTGAAGCAGTTGTGTTTGCATGGCTGTGTTTCGGTTTGAAGGGTGGGATATGGCAGTGAATTTACAGGGTACAGAGAAATAACATCCGAGTACTCAGGAATGGCAACGCTGGGATATGGCGTGAATTTACTTGGTACAGATGAATAACATCCGAGTCCTCAGGAATGGCAACGCATGGGGGGTATCATGGGCGAAACAGTATACTCTGTTATGTCCATGGTACTGCTCATGTATATAGGCGACGGTTACCACTTTCCATCAGTTGGGCCGTCAGCTTGTTTGCCATTCTAAGTTGTATAAAAAAAATATCGGTCCAATAAACAATGTGATAAAAATCTGTTATTCAAAACATAATATTAGATAACAAACATTTAACATATTGGAAAATAGATATCCGACCGATATGGGCGATATCGAGACGGGCGATGACCTCTTTTGCACTATCAATGTCTAGAAAAACCACCTATATATCGGATAGGTATCCATATTAGATACCTATGTCTAACAATTATTTATTGGTATGCGTCCAATAACATATAAATAAAATATAAACATAAAAATGAACATACAATTTTATATGCGTCTAAAATTCTCACTACTTTTTAATTAGAGTTTTATATCTTATATTCTAGAACTTTGTACTATTTTATATTTATTATTTATATTTACATTTATTTATTATACTTATACAGTGGTACTAATGACTAAAGGCAAATAGTATTATTTTCTTTAAATAAACCTAAATATGTTTAAGATTACTAATATTTTAAATAGACAATAGAGATTTAATGTGTCTGTGGTGACCGCTACGTGATACAAGCCACGTCGAAACGTCGACAATGAAGAAGCAGGTATGTAGGTACTATTTACTTATAAAATCTTTTACATCGCGTTAAATCCTGATTTCGTATTTAAAATATGTGTTTTAAAGTTTAAAATTAAGATTACTAATGGTATTTATACACAAATTAAAAAGAAAACTCTGAAAAGATGACAAATAACGCGATATGGTGTTAAGTCCGCCATTTACACTTCTTAGGTGAATTAAAGTTTATAACAAATAAGTACATTTTAAACATTTGACTTAAATGATTTTGAAAATTTCGCAAAGATTTCTCTGTTATGCAAACATATTGAAATTTTGATAAAACCTAAAAAGGAAACCTATAAAAGATGGTAGATAACGCCATATGGTGTTACGTCCGCCATTTACACTTTCTAGGTGTATTTAAGTTTAATGAATAAGAAAACAAGAAATAATTTATATTTGTAATTTATATATATATATATATATATATATATATATATATATATATATATATAAATTATAAGTATAATTTATTTTATAAATCTTTAATGAAGTTTTCTTTTTAATTTTTATATAATTGCCATCAGTAATCTTAATAAAATATAAATAAATAAATTAAAATTGCACACAACAAATAAGTACGTTTTAAACATTTAACTTAAATCATCTTCAAAATTTGCCAAAGAATTTTATCATTGTTATGCAAACGCTTTGAAATTTTGATAATATCTAAAATAAAACGCTGTTATATTAAAGTTTAATAAATAAGAAAGAAAGAAATAATTTATATTTATAATTTACATACATAAATTATAAATTTAAATTGTTTCATAAATGTTTAATGATCTTTTTTTATTTTTATATAATTGCCATCAGTAATCTTAATAATAATTACGTGCATTCAAAGCAAATTGTACTGTTTGCCTTTAGACATTAGTACCACTGTATAAGTAATAGTATCATCATCATCATCTTCCTACCCTTATCCCAACTATCATTTGGGGTCGGCGTAATATGTTTTCCTCTTCCATTCTTTTCTATTCCCAGTCATTTCCGCATTCACTCCCATTCTGGCCATATCGTCTTTCACACAATCCATCCATGTCTTTTTAGGTCTTCCTCTCCTCTTGTAGCCATCTACTTTCATTCATAATACTTTTTTTAAAATATGCTCCTCATTCCTGCGCATCACGTGCCCAAGTACGTGTTTAAGTAATGTTATATTTATTTATATATATAATTTATAATTTTTATATATAAATAAATTAAAATTACACACATAACAAATAAGTACGTTTTAAACATTTAACTTAAATCATGTTTAAAAAATTCAATAAAGAATTTTATCACTGTTTTACAAACGAATTGAAATTTTCATAAGAATTATGTCGATACTTATGTTTTTAACAAAAAATATTACTATCATTTGTTTTGTAATAACTATTTAAAAACAATACACTAATCAGAGAGACCGTATCGTATCTAAAGGAGTCAATAGACTTCGAAACCAGCGTGCACGCATGAGACCAGTTATGAAAATGCAGGTTTTTAACACACAGTTATCTCTGCTTACCTCGCAAGTGACGTGGCGTGAAGATAGATATAAGTTTTAACGCCAAATATTAGTTATGTCGATGTATTTGCATGTATTGTATGTATATTGAATGAATGAATGAATGGCTTTTTTTTAATTAATTAGTTTATTTTAAGATTACTACGAGTTCAGTAATATATTTTTTCATTAAATTGATCCTTTTGAATGTATTGTCATAGATTATACAGAACAGAAGATGTAATTGTATTTTACAAAATGTAATTTGTATGGTTTTCCGTAAATGTAATAAAACAATGTAAGACACGTACAGATTTTTTTCTGTGGCACCGTTTCAGTAGGTTCCAAAACCTAGAAATAACCTAACACCCTAATACCGGGGGGAAAGGGAGTGTTAGAAATAATTTGAAATAGCCCCATTGCTAGCAATATGCTCTATCAGGTCGACCTCCACGCGGTTCGCCCTGGAAACCATCGTGGTTAATTCTTGTCCAATTGATGACACATACACATATATTAGAGAGGAAAGGGATTGTTAGTATTGGGGCTCTAACAGCCTTATTGCTAACAATATACTCCATCAGGTCGACCTCCACGCGGTCCCTGGAAACTATCTTGATTAATAACTTATGAATTCGTCATTATGGGCTGACTGACCTGTTTCATCCTAATCTATCTCATCCATAGGGGGAAAGGGATCGTTAGAAATGGTTTGGAATGGTCCCATTGTTAGCAATATACCCTATCAAGTAGACCTCCACGCTGTTCTCTCTGGAAACCATCGTGGTTAATTCTTGTCGAATTCTTCACGATGGCCGACTGATTGGCCTACCTCCTCATCTATCATCTATCACTGGTGCCTCGCCAGCGTATACCGATAGCGCAAGTGGGTTTATTATTCCATTTTCACCCATTAAAAAAGACACCCAAATATCTTTCATTTTATGGGATCCCATATAATCACTATAATCATTTAGATTGCAAATCAAAGACGCTGGGGGAAAGGATTGTTAGTAATTAAAAGATTAGTCCTTATTGCTAATACTTTACCCTATCAGGTTGACCTCCACGCGGTCCCCCCTGGAATAGGTAGGTAGAATAGATAGGCCAAGTGAGCTGCTTTCATACTCACTTATCATTCCTCACTATTTACACATTAGCTCACTTCACTTATTTACACACGTTAAATAACTTTGATAAATAATTGTTTATTTTTCTTTATTTAATCATATTTTACTTTAGTTTTTTTTTAATGGGTGATAATGGAATGGTAACCCCACCCGCGCTATCGGTATACGCTGGCGAGGCACCAATGATAGGTGACGATGAAAGCAGGTCAGTTAGCTCATCGTGATGAATTCAACAAGAATTGTTCGCGATGGTTTCCAAGGCGAATCACGTGGAGGTCGACCTGATATACCTGATATATACTGCTAGCAATGGGGCTGTCAAACTCCATTGCTAATAATCCATTTCCCTCCATTTTACTTTAGTTACAAAATGTAATGTCATTACTGACATGTATGAGGCAGCTACCGAGAATACAGGCTTGTCCTTAATTAGGTGATAGGATGTAGCGATTTGTAGCTTATTTGTAAATATTATTTATAACATGTGGCAGGCTTGATTGGCAACCGCATTTAGGCTTTGAAGTTGTTTTAAAAGGGACTCTGCTGCCCATCCCTCGCCCTCACTTAGTCGCCCCTTACGACACTCACTTACCTGCCTACTTACAAAACATTATTGAGTTCTTCTTATCACATATTTTGTGTTATTTCAATATAATATTTGTACTTAATTGTGGTATTATTTAATAGGCAAAAATAAATAATTTTATAGAGCCCTAGCGACTTCTAGTACGAATATTTGTATGACAGATAAATATTTACATTAGTCAATATGACACAATTTTCAGTCTTTCCCCTTAAAACCTTAATAAATACATATGTGACGATTGTTAATACACAATAATATTCCCAATATATATATGTATGGGGGGAAAGGGATTGTTAGTAATGGAGACTAAGAATCGTATTGCTAACAATATACCCAACCAGGTCGACCTCCTCGCAATTCCACCTGGAAACTATCATGGTTAATTCCTGACGAATTCGTCATGATGGGCTAACTGGCCTGTTTTCATTCTCATCGATCACCCTTCACTGGTGCTCCGCCAGCGTATCCCGTTAGCGCAGGCGGAGTTACCATACCATTTTCACCAATAAAAAAAATATATGTGAATTATATTTCTAAACTATCTTTTATCTATATTTAATATTTCTGTGTTGTTACATTTTTCAATAATATAGTAATTTCATTTTTTATTAAATTTATTTAGTTTGTTTGCTTTTTTTATGAAACCTTCAGGTTTCGTAAACCACTTTAGTAATCGCTGTCCTAACCTAATATTTTAATTTGATAGTTCTACCAAATTACTCTTTTATCAACTATCATAAAATAAATTTATAATAATTTTGACTTAAATCTGTTAGAAATTTTGTTCAAATTGGTCTTTACCAGAGGGAGACTTTGTACAAAAGTCGATTGCTTGAGTACCTCTGTCCCATTCGTGTTTCAACCGTAAAGCAGTGTTATGCATGGCTGTGTTTCGGTTTGAAGGGTGGGATATGGCGTGAATTTACTGGGTACGGAGGAATAACACCTGAGTCCTCAGGAATGGCAACGTATGGGGTGCATCATGGGCGAAACAGTATACTCTGTTATGTCCATGGTACTGCTCATGTCTATAGGCGACGGTTACCATTTTCCATCAGGTGGGCCGTCAGCTTGTTTGCCATTCTAAGTTGAATAAAAAAATAAAGATTTGGCTGTGATATCAAATTTGAATTCTGATTTTAGAAATAGATCTCCAGAGAGATGGTGCCTCAGAATCGACTACAATGTAGGTATGGGTAATATATAGTAACATATGTATGTATATTTTAGTTACAATATCTAAATACTGATCCAATAACAAATATGTTAAAAGTCTGTTATCCAAAAAATAATATTGGATAACAGACTTTAAACATATTAAATAACTATATAATACTAATAACAATTACGATATGAATAGATACACACCGATACTTAAATAATGAATAATAATAATAAGAAAACACGTACCTATCGTGATACAATTTCAATGACTGGATAATATTGTAACAGATCCTTAGACTATTTCTAAAGTGAAAACAGTGTTGTCCTCCTCTCTCCTACTTGCTGTGCCCAACAGGGTACATAATTGAAATGTTTTCTACTAATTATATTATGGAATGCAATAAGAAATAAATAAATAAATAAATATTCGAAAATGGATATCCGACCGATATAGGCGATATCGAAATGGATAATGACCTAGGAACTACTCACACTTATTCAGCTCTATTCAGCGTTTGTCCATAGAAAACAACGAATTTGTATGGAGACGTGTATGCATCCATTCATCTATCCGCGTCTATTCCACTTTCGCGACAACTCAGTGTAAAATGAGGATAAATGTATATTTATCATGCGAATGCTATAGAGAGCGTTCAACGCTGTTCCACCGCGTTCAGCGCTGTTCCGCCGCATTCACCGTCGAACGCGGCGAAACAGCTCTTTACAGGGATGTTTTGCGACTCTTTGTCGACAAGTTGCGACCTGTATTTTTTCTGCATTAATTTATTATTGCGTAATCATTATGTACGTAAGGATAAAAGAGTGCAGATGTATTTTATAGTAATTATAATCATTTTATTTTTACGAAATGCAGCATATTCAGCGCCGTACGTAGTAGACAAGCGTTTCAGTGGAGATAGCACGCTATGACGGCTTTTCTCATTCTTACGACGCCGTACGCGGCTGATAGAAGCAGAACTGTATAAGTGTGACCAAAATCGTTCAGCGAAACGCGAATGGATCTGAGTAAGTGTG